CCCAACATGGTGAAACCCCGTCTCTACTGAAAAATACAAAAATTAGCTGGGCATGGTGGTGCGTGCCTGTAATCCCAGCTACTCAGGAGGCTGAGGCAGGAGAATTGCTTGAACCGGGGAGGTGGAGGTTGCAGTGAGTCGAGGTCATGCCATTGCACTCCAGCCTGGAGGACAGAGTAAGACTCCCTCTCAAAAGAAAAGAAAATGCGGAACTCCGAATCTATTAGGAAGCACACCTTTCCAGTAGCTCTGAAGGGAAAAAAAAAAAAAAAAAGGAAGCACCCCTGTGTCCCACACCCCTCCAGCCCCCCAACTAGTGCCATCCACCTTTTTTGTCACTCTGTCATTCAGACTGGTATACAGTGGCGCCATGACTGCTCACTGCGACCTTGACCTCCCGGGCTCAAGCCATCCTCCCCTCTCAGACTCCTGATTAGCTGGGACCACCGGTGTACACTATCATGCCCAGCTAATCTTTTTATATTTTGTAGATATGGGGTCCGGCTGTGTTGTCCAGGGTGGTCTCAAGCTCCTGGCCCCAAGTGATCCTCCTGCCTCAGCCTCCAAAACTGTTGGGATTATAGGTGTGAGCCACCGCACCTGGCCCCATTCACCTTCTCAACCTCCCTTCCTGTTCTCCTCGCCCCAGGTCCTCCTGACCTCGCCCCTGGAGTGGAGCTGATACATCCCAGCTGGGGCCTGATGTGGGCCTCAACGCCTTGTAAATGTGTCATTAACATGAGACAGATTGATTTCCAAATGGGGAAACTGAGGCTCAGAGATGTTAAAGTGACCTGTTCTGTGTCACACAGTGCATATGTGACAAAAAGGGTCACAAACCCGGATATCTCCGTTCCCAGAGCTCTTACTGCCCCCAGGAGTGGTCTCAGGCCAAGCCTGGATTCCTTCCCTGGGGCCTTTTTATTGGGCTTACATCACAGGAGCTTTATTATTGGTGGGTGGGGAAGTCCCCCCGAAACCTGGAGGCCTGATGCCTCAGTGGGCTGCAGACAGAATTGTTGGTCTCCTCCTCGGCACCCCCTCACACTGGTGCTGCTGGGCCCCTAAGAAGCCTCAGCCCCAGGCTTGGCTCTTGGGTATTTTCCAGTTTGAAAGGTGAGCCAGGTGCATTCACTCTTAGCGCCATGGGGTCAGGCCTGGGCCAGAGGAAGGAACAGGGTCTGGGCCACATGGAGGGCTGCATGGAGGAAGGCACATGGAGTTGGGGCTTGAAGAATGAGTAGAAGTATGAGACGTGGAAGTAGAGTTGGGTGGCTCATGGATGATGCCTGCATATGAAGGTGGATGGATGGGAGGATATGGATGGATGGGGTAGAAATGGGGGATTGGTGAATAGTGGGATGGATCAGGGATGGATGGGAGACGGAGGATAAATGACTGGATAGGTGACTTGGTGGGTGGATGGGTGGATGGGTGGATATATAATGGATCGATGAATGGATGAATATATGGGAAGATGGATGTATACGTGGTTGGATGGTTGAATGGATGGATATGTAGATGGATGGATGTATAGGTCGATGGGTAAATGGATGAATGGATAGTTGGATGGATGGGAAGATGCCTGGGTGGATGGATGGATAGATGGATCAATGGATGGATGGATGGGAAGATAGATGGGTGGATGGATGCATGGATGGGTAGGTGGATGGGTAGATGGATCGTGTATGGATGGATGGACCAGTGGGTGGATGGATGATGGGTGGATGGGTGGATGGGTAGATGGATAGGTGTATGGATGGATGGACTGGTGGGTGGATGGATGATGGGTGGATGGGTGGATGGATGATTGGAAGGATGGGTAGGTGGACAGGTATATGGATGGATGGATGGATGGGTGAGTGTATGGGTGGATGGATGGGAAGATGGCTAGGTGTATGGATGGATGAATGGGTGGCTGGCTGGATAGATGGATGGGTGAATGGATGGATAGACAGATGGTTGGATAGGTGGGAAGGCAGGTGTATGGATGGATGGGTGAATGGGTGGATGGATGGATGGTTGCATGGATGGGAAGATAGATGGGTATATGGATGGATGGGTGAGTGGATGAGTGGATGGATGGGAAGGTTGGTGGGTGGGTGGATGAATGGGTGAATGAATGGATGGGTGGATGGGTTTGTGGATGGGTGGATGGGTAGGTGGATGGTAGATAGGCATTGAGTGGGTGCATGAACATGTGAGGAAGTGGAAAGTGGAGTTTGAGCCCCAACACTGTCTAAGCATCCCACCTCCCCCTCAAAGAGTGCAGTGTAGGCTGTCACACTGGTAGTGGCTGTAGCGCCCCTGCGCATTGCATCCCTGTCTCCAGCCTGCTCTCCCCAGGTGCCTTTTCAAGGTCCGGCCCCTCCTCCCACAGGACTCCAGACTCCTGCCCTCTGGCCAGGTCCAGACGCTGCTCAACACCCACCGTGGACACTGTGACTACTGGTCAGTGGAGGGCTCTGGGCAGCTACGCAATGTCTGTCTTGCATGTGGGCACGGCTGTGGTGTCCCCGATGGACTCTGAGTGGCCCGAGAGGGTCTCACTTAGAAGCAAGAGGCCAGCCCCTAAGGGGCTGCTCTCCAAAGTCTGTCTGTATGTATTTGCCTTTCTGTTTCTCAGTCTCCTGACCTGCTGCCCGGGGCAAGGGCCAATGCACCTGGACACCCAAGTCCCCAAGACAGACCCCACCCCCCTACATCCCTGGGGATGTTAACAGCCAATTCCCAAGCACCCACCACCTGGACGGGCCCTGAGGGGGCCCCTCAGCTCCAGGTCATGACCTCCCTGGATGGTACCCACCAGAACAGTGGGGATACCACCTAAGGGCTTGGCCCAGCCACCAGCTACCCCCTTCTTGGGTCCCAGGACAGATGCCAAAGCCTGAGGGACCCCAAGGTGTGGGAGGGAGACCCCAAGATGCGGAGGTACTAACACCCTTCCCCAAACTTTGGCCCTCTGGTCCCCATAGACTTTGGGATTTGTTTCTTTGTTGTTTTTCTTTTCTTTTCTTTCTTTCTTTCTTTCTTTCTTTCTTTTTTTTTTTTTTTTTTTT